CAATCGTGGGAAGATTATTTATAATTATCATGAGAATTATATTATATCAAAATGGACAATTAAGTATATCAAAAAAGTCATACTCCATCCGTCTCAAAATATTCACTGTGTTTGATTTAAATTTTCAGAATTAAGTTTTTTAAAAATTGAATTTTTTGATTTTCGTATTTTTTTGTTTTTAGTCAATATTTTTAAAATTTTAAACATTTTTTTTATTTTTTTAGATGTACCTTACTTGAATGTGTCTAAAAAGTAAAAAAATTGTGAAAAAATATTTTAAAAAATTAAGAAATGCATAAAAATACAAAAAATGTACTAAATTCTTCTATTTTTTTGTATTTTTGGTATTTAGTGAATTTTTAAAATATTTTTTTTTTATAATTTTTTTACTTTTTAGGTGTATTTATGTTAGGTGTGTCTAAAAAATAAAAAATTTGCATAAAATATTAAAAAAATTCAGTAAAAACAAAAAACACGGAAAATAAGAGTGTAGAATTTTCTGAAAACTGTTTTTAAAAAATGGGAACCAAGCAAAGTTTAGTCTTTTATTTCATTTTTCATTATCCTAAAATATTAGTCTATTTTTAAAAATAAAGTACAAAAATAATATAAATTTCTTATTTTGCCATTCTTTTAAATTCATCAATATAAAAAGTACAATTATGACATTAATATTTCTTAAAAAATGTACTATCAAAAGATAATTTTGGAAAATAAGTTATTCTAAAGTGCAATAATTGTACCATTAAAAAAAGTTAAATTTTCCAAAACGGACCATTATTTTGGAACGGGAAGAGTAATAATCTTTTCTTTTTTCCCACTAGGTAAACGTTTTTTTTAAAAAGACGGTTAAAAATCATCTTTTAACCTTTAACTTATTTTAGATCACATCAACTCTTTATTTTTTTATATATTTTTTCAAAAGAAAATCAAAAAAAAGACAAAAATGTAAATTTTAACCGACTTCTCAAAACAACCCAAAATTTACTCTAACCTAAATCTAATCGGAAAGAAAAACAGGGATCACCCCCAAACAACCCACATGGGAGTTGAATTCACAACCTCCATTGCAAGGATTAAGAACATATTACGGTCTCGTTTGGTAAGTGATTTTTTTAGTCAAAAAATTAAAAAATTATTAAAAAAGTCAAAAAGTAAATAACCTATACCAAAAGGTCAAAGATTCTCGTTTCTCTCTACTTTTTATAAAAAAAATTTGTAAAAAATTAAAAAATCATCCCAAACATACTAACTTTTTTTAGGTTCCAGCTTGTCTCAAGTTGAAATCAAGACTAGACTCGTCCAGTCCAGTCTGGCCCATGCACTCATTTTTTGGGTTTGTTTTGATAAACCGAACCGTTCAATGTATAGAACTCATCGAGTACTATATGCCTGTAAAAAATCGCGTTGATCGGATATTGATAACTATGTGATCAAATCAGTTTTGTATTAAAAAAAATAGATGATGAACAAATTAATGGTTGAAAAAAAACTACTTTGATCACATAACTATCGATATCCGATCAATGTGATTTTTTACAGACTTATAGTACTCAACGAGTTCTACACATTGAACGGTTCAGATTATCAAAACGGAACCTGTGGTGAACCCTCACGGGTCCAACAACACCATCTAGTCCGATCTCAGACTGGACCAAAGTCACTACCTTTTTTTTATATCATATTTTAATCAAAAAATTAAAAAAATTGTTTTAAAAGCAAATTCCCAAACGGGGCATACTGTAATACAAGGTCTCCTATGGCCTCTCAATGTCAGGATCAAATAGTGTGGCTGGAAAGTGTTCCAAGTTCTCTTTCTCATACTGTCACTACTGACGCAATTTTTTAATTGCCAGACTTTCATGTCTTCCATAAAAAATACAAGGCCTAGAGTAAACAGCAATCACAATCTCGCCACTAGAAAAAATCTATAATATGAATGAAATAAATGAGAAACAAATAAATAATTCAATAATCTCATTATGGGAAAAAAAATAAAAAAATTGCCTTTGTGGTTTTTTAGAAAATTGATAAAAAGTTAATTTTTTAACTTTTTTTTAACTTATTTTATCTGTTTATAAATAAAAAATAAAAAATGCTTAGGAGCACTAATTAGTGCTCCTACTAATTAGGTGGCAGTGAGTCCCGCCATTAATGATGTGATGTTTTGGTCTTAGAGTTGTATTTTTTTTTTTTAATGCATTAGTGCTATTAGTGGTGATATTTTTAGTGAGATGAATTATTGTTGACAAAAAATATAAGAAGTGATGATCAAAAATAAGTAAAAAACTAAAAATCAACCCTTTTTATTTTTTCTTCAAAACGCCTTGGTCAAAGTGTCCTACTTGTCAGTTTAAAAAACAGCAATGATTTAGATCACGAATTTTAATATTTTAATGGAGCACTAATGACATGATAATGAATAAAAAAAAAAAAAAAAAAAAAAAAAAAAAACAAGTCAAGACCAAAACATCATATTACTATGGATGAAGCCTACTCTGCCAACACATTAGAGTTACTTTTAAAGTTCAAAAATAGAATTCCAAAGCATTTTTCTTTAACAAATGCACGAGTGGTCAGTTGGCAAACTCTGGCTCCGTTTCGCAGGAGCTAAACGGGACTTTTTTGGCTATTTTAGCTACAAAAGATAAAATAGGTTATTTTAGTCACAAAAAACAAAATATCACATCCAATTCATAATCATTACATTCTTCTCTCACAAAAAAAGCCAAAAAATTCAAAAAGTCCTTCCCAAACTAAACTTTTTAACCCAGACTAAAATAATAAAAAAAAATCAAAAAATTAAAAAACCAACCCACTTCCCAAACGGAGGCTCCATTTGGTTGGTCGGTATTAGTTGTAGTACATTTCACTTGCCCCTTGGCAGTTTTAAGAGTATCAGTTCTCCCACTTGTTTGAAAAATAAGAGCATTTTCTCCCACCTTTACATTTGCTTATTAATAGCCAATAATTCTATAAATATGGAATTACTCACAAAATCGAACATAAAAATATAAATGCAGCAATTTTAGTGAAGTAATCTCTTTAGTTGTTGGATTTACTATCTAATGTATATGACTAAAATTATTTTTTATAGTTGATTTTGTAATTGGTTTTCTGTCGATATAATTATTATATCAAATAGAATAGAATGATACTTTTGAAAAATTTAGAATAATTGAAATTTAATCCTATTTTTGCGATATATTAAAATAGTGAAAAAGTTATTAAAACAATAATAATGCTTTTTATTTTTTTTATATACCTTCTCATAAAATGATAAAAAAATTAATTAAAATAATTAATTTCTAAAACAACAATTAGCCTATGATAATATATACGAAAAGGCAAGTTAGCTACTCTAGTATAATTATGTAGACAATTGACGGGCCGGGGGGGGGCCGCATTTCATTTTATAATATAATAATTATCAAAATAATTTTAAATTCTAAAAAATGCCACAATCAAATTGTGACAAAAGTTGTTATGGAACGGGAGTAAAAAGCAAAATCCAAGTGTAAATTGAAGAATGTTGTTTCATGAATCATAAAAGAAAAACGGAGAGGCTCCTAAAAATTATTTCTTTATTTAATCTTAATAGTATGGTATGATACATGTTAATTTTGTATTTGTTACAAAATCATTTTTTTTTATTACCATGTCATTGTGAGTGAATTCTAAGTTCTAATTGTGAAATTTTGGCATTCTCTTTTAAGAATTATTTTATCTACAATTTAGAGAAATAAATGTCTACTTATATAAATAAAATAGGAGAATTTAAAGATCAATATTTTCTTCTCAAAATAAGAAAATTGCTACGTAGCTTGAAATTTTGAGGGCTCGAATGGCCTGAATGTCAAAACGACGTTGTTTTGACCTTTTTTTCTCTCTGAAACAGAGAGGAGAGAGAAGAAAGAGAGAAGAAGAGAGAAGAGGAAGGAAGAGACAAGAAAGAGAAAAGAGGGAGGAGGAACACACACACACAGAGCCGGAACTCCCTCCACTCACCGGCTACGCCATCACCGTCGCCTATCGCGACCCTTCTCTATGTGTATACACAGATCTGTGTATATACACATAGATCTGTGTATCTCTCTCTCTCTGTGTGTATGTGTGTTCTCCCTCTCTTCTTTTCTTCTTCCTCCTCTCATTCTTCTTTCTATTTCAAAGAGAAAACAGAGAGTCAGTGCTCTTCTCTCTATTCTTTTTTTTTTCTTTTTCTTTTTTGTGAAATGAAATGTGTTGGTTCACAATACAACAATTGAGCAGAGCAGAAGAGTTGAGTTCCTTTCTCTTCTTTCTTCTTCTTCTTTCTAAACTGTAGGCCGACCGGAAGAGGAAGGAAAAAGAGGAGGGAGAAGGAGGAAAAGGAAGAAGAGGGAGAAGGAAAAAGAAAAAAAAAATTATTTTGATTTGATTTTGAATTCAGAAAGAACAGAGGAAGAACATGAAGGAAAAAAAGAGAAGGAAAAAAAAAAAAAAAAAAGAACCAACACGACATCGTTTTGACACCTCAAACCATAACTATTCAAACTACCCAACGGGATTGTCAAAATAATTACTAACACGTAAAAAAGTACATTATTTTAACTAATAAAGTTTGTAAATTTTATTATTAATTTATTATTTTTTTACAAATATACATTGAACTATTAATTTCACAATAAAATAACTCAAAAAATCTACTATTTTTATTTTTATGATGAAAATTCAAATTTGGTCATTTTCCTTAAAAAGTATATTTTATAATCGAACATTGAAACATAAACCGTACAGTTCAATGCTTATATACAAATTTGCATAAACTCATTAATATATTCACAGAGCACCGACATAAAATAACTCAATTCTTAGATCTTGATTTAATTCTAATTCATTTTTTTTAGGTGAATAAATTTAATTCTAATTCATAACAGAGCACCAACATAAAATAACTCCATTCCAACAAACAAATTTGAATAAACTCATTTATATATTCACAGATCTTGAAATTCATAACACAATTCCAACAATCAAACAAACCTTTAATTTCTTAATAAATTTGGAGAAATTCCTAAATCAAAAAAAAGTACATCTATCCCAAAACAAAAAATAAGGGATGAAAAGCGCGTACAAAAAAAAAAGATACTATTGAATACAGTACAATTCAACTCATCTCTCTCTCTCTCTCTCTCTCTCTCTCTGATAATCTGCCAAAATCATTGTAAATCTTGATAATTCTAGTTATTTTAAGAGTCACAATTTATAGAGAGAGAGTACACTAATGGATCATCAAAATCAAACTTATCGGTGAGCTGTGACCAATGTTTCAATGAACCTCAATCCATCAAATCTGGGCGCAAATTTATCCGCAGAAGCCACATAATTACCACTATGTTTGCTCGAAACAGCTTCCTATCACAAATAAAAAAATCAAGAATCAGTAAAAGTATCCGATTCGAAGAGAGAGAGAGTGGAATTCTCAGGAAAAAAAAAAAAAAAAAAAAAAAAAAAAAACACAATGAAAATGAGATTCATCAATAAATCAAGATCTGTAGGTATGTAAGAAAAGCGAATGAAGAAAAGTCTGGGAATTGATTTTCACAAGACGGATCTCTGTTCGGTTGTTGGGAAAGTGGTGGAAAAAAAGAGATCCGTACTTTTTCTTTCCCTTTCCAGGCAGCCAAACAGACATAATTCTTCCGAAAAATTTCAATCCACAAAAACTCAATTCTCACAACAAAAGATTAGAAAATAAAATTCACCTCCCGAGAGCTTTGCGACTTGGAGTAGGTTGAGGGAGTTGAAGAAGACGGCGAAGAAGAGATGGCAGTGGCTGAAGCTGCGGCCATGGACGCTGCGGCAAGGATCCCTGATTTCTTCATGTTGTTTGGTAGCCGAGAATTATGATTCCAGAAATATAGGGAAGACCCAAGAAAATAAGAAAATTTTCTCGGGAAAATACAAAAAGGAATTTGAGAGATTTTATGCGTAAGTTGGAGGGTCTTCGGCGGCAATATATATTGGGGGCTGGACCTTTTCAGTGTTCGAATATTTACGCGGCAACCGTCACCCACCATTCCCAAATTAAATGACAATTTTACCCTTGCTTTACTTGGAATCTAAATTTAATTTTTCTTTAAAATTTTCACTTCACAATAATGCCCTCAAGCTTCTTTTACTTTGGCTTAAAAGCAAATTTTTAAACTTTTTGGACTTGTTAGGATTGTTTTTGAGAGAGTTATTTTTGAAAAAAATTTGAGAGAGTGGTTTTAAAAAAAAATTTGGTTTGTTTCTTTGTATATTTTGAAAGTAGTTTTGGAGTTTGAAAGTTTGAGATAATTTAATATTTTATTATAATTGAGTAGATGTGTGTGAGAGAAAAAGTGATTCAGAAGGAGAGAGGAGAGAGAAAAAGTGATTTTGAAAATTTTTTGAGAAAAATCTCAAAACAAACAATTTTTTAGAAATTTTTTTCTAAAACTCATCACTAAAACCCAAACCAAACTAATTTTTTTCAGTTATATTCTCTCTTTATTTTTTTATAAATTTTTTTTAAAAAAATTTACTTTTAATCAACTTTATAAAACAATACCACTGGCCTTGTTTGGCAAAGGATTTTCTTTTGCTTTTGGGATTAAAATTCACAAAAATATAAAATAGACTAAAATAATTAATAAAACAAAATATCACATTAAATTCATAATCATTTCATTTTTTCACTCATAAACATCACATTCAACTATAAAAAAAATCTAATCATCTTCTTAAATACAAATATTTTAACTTACTAAAATAACTAAAAATTAAAATAGTCAACTTTCTAAAGGAGGCCAGTGTACTATTGAAATGGCAGTAAAAGTAAGGGTGCAACTCGGGCGAGTTTGATCAGGTTGGAGGTTTGCTCAGGCCTAGCCTGAATTGTGTTCGGCAATGTCCAAACCCGCCCAAGTTCAACCATCAAACGGAGCTTGGCTGCTCAAACCCGGACCAAGCTTCATAATTT